GCAGTGTGTCTCAATGAATTTGTTGCAGATATTTTTGATTTATGCCCAATATAGAAGCGTGGTCTGCGCTACGTTATTCCACACCACAACGCCAGAGGGCCAATCAGGAAGTAGCTGTGGGTCTAGATACGGCCGAGGCGGTGAGGAAGTGGGGGCAAGTTTGTTTGACAACGGAGGGACATGAGGGCCAAAAAGAGCGGGGATCCAGGTTGAAAAAGGGTCCCAGCGTTCTCGCGCACCTCGCTCTGCTAGCTGCTCCATCTTTACGAGTCGTTTTCCACAATGGCGGTCAGACAAACAAATCAAGCCGCTAAGAGACCAAACAGGAAATACGCATAGTGTAGAGCAGATATAGAACTAACCAATCAGAGGCCTCCTGTCTGCCGTCACCTACAATTTTGGGGAGGTGCAACAGAGTGTCTGCCTTAACTGTATAGCATGGAGGGGGCGGCATCATGCTGTGGTTCTGGTACACTAAACAGACTGGGTGAAATGATAATCACTTCATTAGTTTAACTTAAAGGGGAACGCTGTTTTTTTTTTACATTGGTCCCTTAATTTTCCGTTATTCCATCATGTTCTACTCACCCATATGAGTTTAGTGTCATTTGGAGCCGTTCTGAAGATATTCCGTTAGGTTATGGGGGCGTCTCTAGGTTTAAGAGACAAGGGTGGCTCAGCCCCTAGAAGATAATGCGCGCGCCATGCGCGCGCCGAATTTTTTCAGTGCACCTGCTAAGGCGTTGTCTAAGACAAGGGTGTAACTTTGTGTTGAAAGTTGGTGGGGACGGCTCATAAGGAAAGGGAGCTACCTGCGCGACGCCTTTTTTTTTTTTGTTGGAAAGGATAAAGACAAAAAAATGCGAATAACATTTATCAATTTAATGCTTACAGTTGAAAACATAACTGTTACAATATTCACTTATATATTTTGTGCAAAAAATATCACATAAATCTAAACAGACAGTACAAATCAAAGAAATCAAATAAATATATCAATTTTGTAGAACATTTATTGACAGTCAATTTTGGGTCACTTTTTAAAATTAATTTACTTTTAAACCAGGACTCGGACAAGATCTTATGGGACCTTAAGCAGAATATGATTAAGCAACTCCGTCTTTCTGTCAAGAACATCCACCAGCAGGGTATCCAGGGGGGAATTTACCATTAGGCAATACTAGGCAGTTGCCCAGGGCCCCAAGTTCTGGGGGCCCCATAAAACTCTGTTTCCATGTATGGTTAATACAACTAATCCTTATTTGTGCACATTAATTATGTTTTTGATAAAAATCCTTTGGCTAAAATGCCATCAGAACGCTGATAAATAGAGAGGAAAAAGGGACAAGAAGAGAGGGACAAAACCTAGAACAAATAATGGATGTCTATTCTATTAACATTTCTCTATCTGTACAATGGGTCTGTTTTATGGGTTTTCTTCTCAGGGGGCCCCCTGCCTGTCTTTGCCTAGGGCCCCAAATTTCCTAAATCCGCCCCTGAGGGTATCAATACTGATTTGATAGAATCTGGGAGAGCGGACTATGTTCAACCATCCATTTTCTTTAACCTTATCCCTCAGTGGGATCAGGAGGTGCTGGTGCATATCTCCAGCCACGTTCTGGGTGAGAGGTGGGATCACCCTGGACAGGTCACCAGTCTGTCGCAGTATGTTCAACCAGCTTAAAAGTAATCGGTAATCAGATTTATTATTTGCACTTTTACTAAGTGAACTTTCTAACTCCCTTAAATCTGAAATTCCAATGCCAAAATTGTTTAAATCTTTTATCTTTGGACCCCCTGCAGAGTGACGTCACACCTGCAAGATCCTATCCTTACCTTCCTGCTAGATTGCAAAAAGCAGCTTGCTCATGAGTTGTCAACTTAACACGCTAAATCTTAAATGTACATATAAAAGAAAAAGGGGTGCAGTGCTTGCTACTGAATGGCAACACTATCAAAGTCAGGAAAAAGTTTTAAGTAAAGCCGGGATTAAAACAGTAGCTACAAGAAGCTTCAAATAAAAGGTGTTCTTTATGTTTAACCTAAACACCAACTCCGATAGACCATCAGTAGAGCAGGTGTTTAAATTAATCAATCACTGCTGCGAAAGCTTATAGCAGTGAAAGCTAATATACCACAGCCATCACTTAATAAACGCAAAATAAACAACCCTCTAAAAACGGAAAACTGTAATGGACTGAAAGTCCTGTTTTTTATGTTTCTATGGCAACGATACTGAATGTAGTGTAGCTTAGAGACCTGCATGGGTCGAGTTTTACCAACCCGCACCCGCCCGAACCCGTTAGGATGACTACCGAACCCGACCCGTCACCCGCGGATATCTTCAATTCAAATGTTATGGGGAGAGGGCGGAGGGGGGTGATGGGGAGAAAGCGAGAGGCAACAGATTCTTTTTTCTGAGTTTTTTTGTCGGGGTTTGTGGACGGTGAGCAGCGGGGAGAACTTTTTTTATTTTCTTTCTGAGGAGCGGCATGAATGGGGTTTTAATCAGATATACACAGCACCGAAAGCAAAATACGTGTACAAAATATTGGTGGGGACATGTCCACACCAGTCCTTAAGGAAGTTACGCCTATGATTGTTCAGATTAACTTGTCTTCTTTATGGCTTTTATTCGGTGCTTTACTGCATTTGTTTTGGGAAAATATGAGGGAAAAATAAATACAGAAAAAAATATATATATTTTTTAAAATCGCAAAATAATTATAGGGTGGCTAATGCCAAAGAAAGGGTGGCTGAAGCCACCCTTAAATAGGTCTAACGACGCTTATATCCAAGTAACGTCTTCCTATGGGCAACGACTTGAAGGCACAAACTAAACTGTTCATCATTTATTCTTTATGGTACGCCAGCATTCAGAACATGGAGGCCAATCACTGTCCCCAGACATCCGCCGTTAGATTTTTTATATTTCTGTAAAAACAAAGCAGCGCGTGTATGACGTCATCGGCGCAGCGGCCTGGAGTTGTGACAGGCAGCCCGGGCCACAGGCTGCTACGCTCTACCCCTTCTATTCATTCTAGCTAATCTGAATCGTTCAATTCCATCTGGAGAGCGAGATCATCTGTGGTAGCAGCACTAGACATCTTCCAGGCATGTGAGGAAAACTAGCAGCAGTTCAACAGACAGGATGAAGGGATGGTAGCCGGTGCGCGGATGACGTCATACACACTCCGCTTTGTTTTAAAATAATATAAATATAAAAATCTAACAGCGGATGTCTGGGGGACAGTGATTGGCCTCCATGTTCTGAATGCTGGCGTAGCATAAAGAATAAATGATGAACAGTTTAGTTTGTGCCTTCAAGTCGTTGCCCATAGGAAGACGTTATTTGGATATAACCTAACGGAATATCTTCAGAACGGCTCCAAATGACACTAAACTCATATGGGTGAGTAGAACATGATGGAATAACGGAAAATTAAGGGGCCAGTGTATAAGAAGTGGTGTTTCACTTTAAGCCGGGCTTACACTGTGTGATATTTTCCATCGTTCCACGCAGCCACAGCTCCAGCTGTACGATGAAACTGCAGGGTTTAAAAGTTCGCAGCGCAGGATGTTTGTTCTCACACCCGACGCTCTGATGCGACCTTACAACGGCCGACATAAATTCTAACTTGTTTGATTTTCTTTCGAGCTTTAGATTCCTGATCGGGAGGTGGTCATGAGAGGCTGATCGCCCCTCATTGCCTCCGTATACTACACAACGAAGGGGAGTGGCGGAGGGGAGGGGTTAAATGCAGAGAAGTAATTTCCCTCTGGGATTATTAGAGTTTAAAAAAAAATCAAATAAAAAACGATGCAGAATCTCAGCCTGATCGAAAAATTATTGCACAACTGGAGATTCGCACTGCAGCCTTGCAGCAAGAAAGTTCATGGTTTGATTCTCGGCTGGTGTTCTTACTGCATGGAGTTTGCATGTTCTCCCTGAGCATGCGTGGGTTCTCTCTGGGTACTCTGCCTTCCTCCCACAGTCCAAAAACATGACTGTTAGGTTAATTGGCTTCTCTAATTTCTCCTTAGGTGTGAGTTTTTGTGTGAATGGTTGTTTGTCCTGTTTGTCTCTGTGTTGCTCTGCGATGGACTGGAGACCTGTCCAAGATGGATCCTGCCTCTCGCCCATAGACAGCTGGAGATAGACACCAGCACCCCCAGCTGGGATAAGCGTGACACAAAATGGATGGATGGACTGGAGAATCAGCCTGAAAAGGGCCAAAAGTCGTACAGTATAAGCTCGGCTTTAGGTTCTGTTAAGTCGTCTCTAAACTCCAGCCTAAAGCTGAAGATGTGCACCTAAAGGGAAAACGGCTCCGACATCCAGGAAGCTTTGAGGAGCCTGTGAAAAAGACAGAGTCCCACCCTGACGGGGTGACATTTCTCAACCAAGAAGGATTTTTCTGTCTGTGAAAAAATGTGATGTAAGAGGAGCATCAGTTCAACCAATCAAACTGTTTCTGAAGATTCCCTGTAATCAAGAAGTGTTTCTTATCGCTGCTGACGTTTTGATTTATCTCTGAAGTCTTTGAGGTCAGAGGGGCCTCCGTGCCATCGCCCTAATCTGTTTGCTTTCTCTGTAGATCATCTAAACTTAGGCTTAAACTTCTATTCTGCCAGATTCTAGTGGACTTCTAATCTATTGGATTAAAGTCCAGAGATTTGTGAATCGTCTGGTTTTAGCTGCACATATTTTAGCCTCTGTAGACGCCAGACAATCCGCAGTAACGTCACCTAAACAACTCAAATCAAATGTGGTGAAACCAATCCCTTCAGGAGGGAAAACTGCTCTAAACTTAACAGCAGAAGCTCTAGCAGTAATAGAAACTGGAAATGGATGTAAACCTTTGATAGATCATATCAACGTAGCGAAAAGAAGCAGATGGAAAAGTGTCTCCACCAGCAGGAGGAGATGCTACATCCAGCAGCCTGATGGCCCTCTGACCTCCACATCTGGATGTGTCCCTAAACAGGAATCTCCGTACCTTCTCCATGGCTGCGCTCGCGTCCATGTTGTCCTCCTCCTCCTCCTGGGTTCTCGCTGCCTCTGCTCTTCCAGGACAATGAGGCTTTAAATTCCTCTCCTGTCCACCACACTTCCTCTCTCCCCGCCCACAATCGCTCCCGCTGCCCTGCAGCACTTTTCACCAGCCTGCCTCTTCATTCACTCCCTGCTTCTTGTTAAACATCTTTTCTTTGAATGATTTCTGTCTGGAAACTCAAAGCAGCTAAATAACGCCCCCTTCATTGCATTAAGCTGTAATTTTTCTGCTTTTTTCCTCTGTTTTTTCTCCCCTCATCACTCCCAGCTTGTCCGACTGCCAGCTCTTCATCTCCTCCCTCTGCAACATGAACCCAGCAGGCTTCTTGCTCCAACATGCTGCAGTGGGAAAGTCAAACAGAAGAGGCTGTCAGACTTTACCTCGACACAGCGTCTAAATTCACAGAGGGGTTGCCACGTTGGTGTAGCGAGGTTAAAGGTCTCAGACACAACAGCTCCACTGTCTCCACTCAGCAGAGCAGTAAAGTGGGCCTGTGCTGGATGGAAGGACTACCTGGGGCAGTGAGGCCAGACCAGACTGTTTGTGTTTTGAACAAAGACTGAATGACTCCCCTTTTGCACCGTTACAGCCAATCAGAGCGAGCCTAGAAACTCCTCATCCAATCAGAGCTTTAGAAAGTTTTCAGTGCAGCTCAGAAGAACATTGAACAAGAAGGAAGAAGAGAACATCTTGTTTTTTTAACCCATTTTCTCACCTTGGAGAAAATGGGTTTCGATCCCTCCAAAAATGTTCTGATTCCGGATCTACAGAGTGGGAATCTTGAGCCCTCAACAGAGATTTTTATTTATAAAGATGTTCCCAGTTCAGGTTATTATCAAATAATGTTTATCTGGTAACAACAAGGGCAAATTAAATTCTATTCAGTTTATTTCTATAGCTCCAATTCACATCATGTCATCTCAGGTCACTTTCCAGTTCACCAGATCGCTTGTAGCAACAGTGGAGAGAAAAAACTCCCTTTGAACAGGTAGGAACCTCCAGCAGAACCAGGCTCAGTGTGAGCGGCCATCTGCTGAGGCCCACTGGGGTTCAAGGAGACAGAAGCAGACATAGAAAAAGAAGCATAGATAAAAAAGGCAACTGTCAACCAGCTCCACAGGCGGCCCCGTCCAGGAAACACACAGCCAGGCAGACGAGCTCCGAGCCAGCTCCCATGTCAGAGGATGGAGAGAGCACATCCAGTTAGTCACAGTCAGAGAAACAGGACTACACTGGAAAACAGGCCAAGCTCCAACATCTAGAAACAAAGGTGTTGATGGCAGCAGCACAGCGGATATTTCTCTCCAGGATGGAGTCACAGCCAAACAGGAACAGACCAGATGAAGCTACTATGAGAAAAAGCAGAGAGAGCAGAACGTTAGAGATTGAACTAACAGATTCTGCAGAGTGGGAGAATAGAGATAGAATGAAGCAGAATGATGAAAAAGGGGTCTAAATAAAGGCTTTTCTTTAAAAAAACCAAAAGGTTCTGGTATTTTCTATAAGCTTTTAATTTGAAAAAGCTTTTTTAGAGCCAGTGGGGAGTTAAGTTAGATTTTGGTTGACTTTGAATTTGTAGTTTTAAGATATAACAACACAAAGTCACTGTGCGGTTTTTTTGCAAATATCGATTATTTTTGTCTTCCTTTTCCTTTAAATCATAGTCAGGATTGTTTAAGCAGGCAGTGATTTATGGAAAAAAAATGTAAAAATCTGATTTCTTTTTTTTTCAAAATAAATTGGGAGATCTAACTTAATTTCAGAGTCTAAAGCATTTTTTTTCCACAGACATAACCTCTTTAATAGATTTGTGGGGCTTTTTAGAAAACAATCATCAATTAAATTGTTCTGATGATGAAGTAAAAAATCTTGGTGTTGTTTTTGATCAGGACCTGTCATTTAAATCCCATATCAAAGAGGTTTCTAGAATTTCCTTCTTTCATCTGAGGAACATTGCAAACATTAGAAATCTCCTGTCCAGGGGTGATGCTGAGAAACTAGTCCATGCATTTGTTACTTCAAGGCTGGACTATTGTAATTCTTTACTATCAGGAAGTCCACAAACTGTAGTTAAAAGCCTTCAGCTGATCCAAAATGCTGCAGCCAGAGTTCTGATGAAAATGAAAAAGAGAGATCATATCTCTCCTATCCTGGCTTCTCTTCATTGGCTTCCTGTTAAATCCAGAATAGAATTTAAAATCCTCCTTCTCACATATAAAGCCTTAAATATTTAAGTTATTTTCCATATTTATGCTGCTATAAGTTTAGGCTGCTAGAGGACGTAGGGACCACTTTTCATCTTTCCGCTTTATTCTGTCTCTATTCTCCCCTTCTGCATTATTTGTTAGTTCAATGCCTAACTTTATGTTATCTCTCTTTTGTCCCTTTTGACATAAAAATTGTCTCTTAGTTCAACTGCTTAATGTTTCTTTTCTAAAAACAAAAGCCGCCTGAGGAGCTAGTTTACCGTTACCTTTGCATCTTTGTTCAGAATGATGTGTGGTATTTGGGCGTTTTCCATTTAGACCATAAAGTCACATATTCTGAGCAGACCATCCTCTATCTGTGTGCTTTGTCCCATTTATCGGGTTTTTAGATAACTGCTTTTCTACTAAGCTGTGGATTTCTGCAGCTCTCTCGTTCATCGTGGGAATCTTGGCTGTTTCTATGATTAATGTGGACGTCTTCGTCTCCGTAAAGTTACGGCTCAGGCAGCTCATGAGTCGGCCCTTTTTGTAGACTTGGTGTTCCTAGACCAGTCCAACCTATTATTAAAGTACACTCCCAGGTACTTTTACTGGTTCATCGTATCTACAGACACCCCCTGGATCCCTGTATTGTAACTGACAGCAGAGCATGTAGAAAAGGGTGGTTAGATTTCATGATTTAACATTGTAAAAAATTCCAATATGACAAATAATTTATGTTCCTTCACTTTTACAGTTCTCAGTTTAAAAAAACTCTGACATCAGTTTATTTATTTGTGTCTGAGAGTGAACATTTTGAAAAGGCTTAAGGTGACGGTTACCTGTGCTCTGGGGTGTAAGTGGTGAAAACATGGGGATTTTAACAAGTTTACTAAGATATGTCTGCAGTTGGTCCATATCAACTTGTTTTATAGAACAAACTTAGGTTTTATCAAAATGGATGTTCACTTTCTTAGAATAGAATAGAAAAGAATAGAAAATCCCTTTATTTTCCCACAATGCGGGATTCTGGTGTTCACAGCAGCAAAAAGATTATAGAAAAAATAGCACACACATGTGGACCTTAGAATCCTGTATGAGAATAACATAATAATGAAGAGTTCCTGCATTTCTTTTTAAAATCTAAATATTAATCTTTGGTCAGACTGTACATTTATTCATATCATATATTTCTGTTTCATGTTTGTTCTCATCAAAAAAAGAAGAAAAGTGAAACAAAGCAGAGCGAGTTTACTAAGGCCAGCCTTTAGTTACATCTGTTCCCGGGAAAAATAACCTTACGTCACAAACCCCGCCCAAGCTGAAAGAGATGTCGGTTTATTTAGGTGTATGGCAAGCTATTTTGACATTTATTAGAAGTGCTGTCTTCTATTGTTCCATTTGTAGAAATAATTGTAGAAATTCTTCAAAATTAATCAAAATTCCTACTAGCCAGAAATGTACATTTAGATATCATAAATTACATTTTTGCTTTTAAAAATTACATTTCAGGCTTCTGAAAAAATATAATTGTACTAGTAAGAAGGAAGTAGAAATACAGTTTAGATTTCTGGATATTTGATATTTGAATTATTTGTTTTTGACATCTGAAATAATAATTGTGACTAGCAGTGACCTTTTATGGAGATCTGATAGTAGACTTCATTCTCATGGCAGCCTGAAATGTAATTTTTGATAGCAATAATGTAATTTAGGATATCTATATGTACATTTCTGACTAGTAGGAATGTAGTTTTGAGTAGGAAGAATCTTATTTTAGAGATTAACAAATGAAACAATTGAGAGGACAGCGCTTCTAATAAATTCCAAATCGGCCTGCCATACCGGTTTCAGTTCAAGGCCACGCCTCGTAGAAAACCACCAACCAATAGGAAGCCCGGACGCCAGGGCTCTGGTTCAATATTCATGTTCTTTCGCGGGCTTTGCTAGTCACGTGGTTGTTTCGCGCGAAAAGAGACTCCAGTCAGGAAGGAGAAGAAGCAGCAGACCCACAGCAGCGCAGCAATGGCGGTGAGTAAAAACCAGTGAAATCTGCTTTTATTGGGTTTTATTGCGTAACCTCTGAGTTTAGTTTGTGATAAAACAGATAAATAAACAGAGTTTAGTAACTGTAGCTTCAGTTTATCCGCAGTTATCTGTGCTTTAGTAGCTTTGCTGATAATAATGGAGAGATTTGGTTTGGTTAAAAATGTCCGTTTAGTTCAGGAGTTCTTGTTAAAATCCTTTTTTTCTGATGAGGGTTCTGGTGTTTTGATTTAATGTGTGATTTAATCTGTAATCATTAGTCAGGAGGGATGTTTTAAAGGGTGAGCTGCCATGTGGCTGCTGATGGCATCCCATATAACAGACTAAAAACAGCCACTCTGTTTCCCACATGGGTGTTTTTATTGGTATATATGGGCTAATCTGATGCTCCTGTGAGGGTTTGGATGAGTCAGGAATAAAAATAATGAAAAGGCTGCACGTGTTTCTGGATGAAGCTAAAAGTTCAACTAAAAAATGCATAAAATTCACACAGTTTGAAACGAGATAAAATATCAGAGCTGATGTTTCATTTTCAATGGACCATCAGGTCTTATTTACCCCCATTGATAAATTAATCAGCCAATTCCTGATGATCATGTTAGAGAAGAAAGTAATTATATAATTGCATCTGATGTTCAAGCTGCATTATTAACCATCAAATCTGGTAAGTGTTATAGATTAGATTCATTATTAGATATATATCACTTATTATTTCATCTTCATAATAATAAATGTAGGATGTGTCAGACTTCCTGCTCATGTAGATATTGATGGAAATAAAGTAGATATATTAGCTAAAAACAGGCCTTTAAATCAGATATTATCAATTTAAGTATCCCTTTAAGTGAAAGTGAGGTTAAATCTGTAATTCAGAATAAAATCTGAGGTTTGGCAGGAAAATTGAGATTATATGGAAGCCCGTTTCTGCCACACTGTAAAAAAAAAAAAAAAAAAAATTATCTTATTATAATGAGATGCTAACTCAATCTAATGAGATGCTACAGTATTTCATCACACTGGTAGATAAAATTCAAAAGACTGTGGGGGGTAATGGTTGCATGAATGGAAGGCAGAAAGAAGAGGCAGTCATATCTCCACTCAGAATTGGTCTTACTGGACTTAATGGTTATCTTTTTATAATATGGAAACAGGGATTATAATCCCTGTAATCAGATGGAAACAGTGGAACATTTATTATTAGAACGTAATGAGGGAAATCAACACTTAAGTCGATTCTTAATAGAGAGAAAATAGGATTTTCTATGAAAAATCGT